TAACAGAATATGAAGTCTAATTTATTACCCTTTGCGCCCCAGAGATTCTTAAATTCGCTTCAGTAGATGGGCCTTAGCTGAAAACATTAAAACTTTTTGCGCTTCGTTTACATTATTTAACATCGATCTCTATTACGCCCGGAATTTGGAAATGCAGCAAGACAGAAATGCTTACAAAAAATAATCCCAAAGGTTGTGGCCTCGAGGGTAATGCCTAAATCATGTTGCTCGCGATTTGTCCCCAGATACATATAAATCCTTTCCTCACCCCCCGCAACCTTGGCTAGCGTCTGCATGTCATACCAGAATATATAAACTCGTGATACTGCATATGCGTAAACGTGTGGAGTTCTGCTACAGATTGCGTATCATCATTGCCAATAATGTTTTCTAATAATGATAAGAGTGATTTTTATTATTTTTTCTCAAACATGTTCGGAAATATTTGCATTACTTTCAAAAAACGAAGACGTAAAGTTTGTCATTTATGGATCGTGCGACTTATTCCCCGCCAAGGCCTGCAAAGTAAGTAATAAAAATCCATACTGTCCTTAAAGGATGGAAATAGTCTAAGATACTGTCCTCTTCTCAAAACTTTTAAATCTATCTAATAACATTGAACCATGTTAACAGGCAAAAGAAAAACTATTACAAAAACTTTTACTTAATTAAATTTTTATTGAATTGATATTCAATTATTTTTTGTGAAATTACTCCACTAGTTTGTTATAATTGTTAATACAAAGATCGAACACTCAGAAAAAACACTCAGAAAAAAAATATATATCTTTGTATTAATAATTATAACAAACTAGTGGAGTAATTTCACAAAAAATAATTGAATATCAATTCAATAAAAATTTAATTAATACAGTGAATAGCGACATCTCTCGCCAGGACTGGTAGCTGTAAAGGTACTAACTGGGTGATAAATCTGTAATAGATTTCTCATAGAAGGCGCTACGACTAAAAAGTCGTTGAAAGACCAAGTACAAAGACACGACGCAAGCACATAGAAAAATTCGTGAGGTCCGTTGGTTCGTTCCGTGGCTTAGTTGGTATAGCGTCTGGCACGATATGCCATACGTTGGTTCGAATCCGACCGGATCGAAGGAATTTTTTCTGAGTGTTTTTTCTGAGTGTTCGATCTTTGTATTAATAATTAAAAACTTTTACTATTAAAAAAAAGAAAAAGGTGGTAAACTAAAGTGATTTGGTATTATTTACCCCTTTTCTGCATTTTCGTCGCGAAAATTAGTTCTAGCGAGAAGAGCGATAACGAAAATACAGTAATGGATAATACTCTGTCTGAAATTAGAAAAGCGAATATTGACCATTAAAAACTTATGACATTTTCATGCACTGGGAACCACAAGAACAACACTATCAGACTACTATTAAATATGCCTGGAAAAACATCAAATGTTACTTTTGATATCAATTAATTTTGAAATTCGGAAGTACTGCCATTATATTCTATTTCAACCGCAAAACAGGAACGTGAGCGTTACATTCCGGTATTGAAAAGTTATGGTGTTGGTGAAACTACAAGCAAATTTCAGTTTTATGTCTCTGAGTGGTCCAGTGGCAGTGTCCCTCAGATATTTGCGATTTAAAACTTTGTATATCACTGGAACTGTTATGGATAGGCATGTCGCTTACCACAGCTATCATAACGAAAAACTAATGTACATATAGCATACTCTAAATTGCCATATTGATATGGCAATTATCCGCATTCAATTTTGTACTCCAGTCAAAACAATTGGTATTAAATAAATTAAAAATAAAGGTGTTATTCTATTTCAACTTGATAAACTGCCAGTTCAAAGTTAACTTTTTGAAACATAATACGCAAAATGTATGTACTACAAAATGCATATAGGTACAAAACACCAACATTGTATGTTTTCAAGTTCAATTATTCAGAAGCACGCACGGCGCGGGCCGGTGATTTCAACCGAGTTTAAAATTTAACTCAACATTGTCGTGACAAGTGACATTATTAATCTAACAAACACAATGTTATTTTCCCAGGTAGGTTGGGAAAGGCGTAAATGTTAAAATTTTACACTCTATCCGCTGGATTGTATAGGAATTTAAAAAAACTGAATCTAACCTAAGTCCGCCTACATTTTTTTATGACATCAAGTGACGGGACGAACAAGTCGTGCGCCTGATGGTAAGCGACATGCCTGTCCATAACAGTTGCAGTGTCGCTCCGAGCTTTAAATCGCAAAGATCGGAGGGACACTGCCACAGCGCCCGTTACTCTGAGACATAAGTTGACAAGGCCCATGTGCCTGTAATTTCACCAGCACCCTTACCCTTCAAAACCGGAACACTGTAATGGTCACATTACTGCTTGGCTGTAGAAATAGAGTAACTTATTATAATGTCACTTTATTTATAACCAAAAAGCGTTATCATGTTTCCTATGTCACATCTTGCAAATTTATAGTCGGACTTCTAATCAACAAAGCGACAACCTGCTAATGACACTTCGAAAATAGTGTTGCTTTGTTAATTGTATAATGATGTGTTTGGCATTGAAACAGAATCTACTAACAGTTATTTCATTTACATTTATCTCTACATTTTACAGTTTAAAAATATTTGATGATCTTCAGAGGAAGTCAGTGAAGTCTTTTCTTAGATATTGCACTATTATACATCAAAAACTTGCAACTTACTAAACGCTAGTTCATTGTCTCTAGTTAAAAAAACTCCGGGTATTGTCAACAAACCCTACATGAATAAATTTGTAAATAAATAACTAACCTGTAGAGCTCGCAACGTGTCCTTCGAATATAATTGGATCTTGGATTCGACCTTGTTAGACTTTGCTATTGTTACCCAATTATTCCGTTTAGTTTCACAATAACGGTGCGCCTGACAGAAATCTTCACGCAAATACTACAAATATGCAACACATACAGACGTTGCTCCTATTGTTTTAGTAGGCGCTTATTATTTACAGCGTCTAGATTTTGAATTATTTTTACAATTAAATACACAGTTTTGCGTCTCATTTAATATTCAAATAAACAAATTAGAAACATACTCTATCTACAAACAATGGTTACTTTCTAGAAAAAAGTTGTCATAAATTTTAACGCTTGAGAAAAAACATTTCGATGTGGAAACTCCAAATCCCTTCTTTAACTATTAGAAGTAAACGTATACTACTTATATGTTATTATTATAGGCATTAGGTTACCTACTTAACAAATGTTATGACTTAAACGTGGTATAATTTCACGCGTATACACTTTACATGTTGTCATGAAAATATGAGTGACAATGGTTACACTCCAAGAACTCGAGTGGATCGTCGGTGTCGAAATGGGATGTCGGGAGAACAATTTTTAATTAGTCTTGCTCAGTCGTGTCTTGATTCAAGTCTAGACTTAGTCATACCGTGGTAAGAATTGTGATTATCGTTCAATGAGTTAACAAAAGTTATTGAATCATGAAAAACACGCTTCTCCTTTGAAAGCGTTTTGGTTTTAAGAGTAAAAGAAAGTGTTATTCTGACATGTGTCAATTCGATTTAGCCTGTTCAACACAAAGTCATTTTTAAACTTATTCGCATTAATAACGCACACACTCACAGCCTCAGCACCTTGGAAACCCCGCCTCGCGCGTGCCATGGAAACACACATAGACGATCACAAATTATACCCAAACTCACGATAGAAATAAATGTAGGCCATACAAATATTTATCCCGGCTCGGGAATCGAACCTGGGAGCTCTGCGTGGCAGACCAGTAGTTCGCTAAGTCTGCCGTCCACTAAACCGCGACTAAGTGGCTGTAACCGTCTTAAATAGCAAAAAATAAATCACAACATTCTATTTTAAAAACAGTTAAAATTAGTTAACGTGTTTGACTTATCGGAACTTGCCCTAATAATGCATAACTAAAATAACATTGAACAATTTAATTATTCTTAAACAGGGTTATATTTTAGGGTTAGTTGTATTATACATATTGGAGATCAGGAAATAAAGGTCAATCTAACAATTTTTTTAGAAATTATATCTCAATAACTGTTGAATATACAGCAAGCTCAAATAAAAATCAATATTCAGATTTTTACTATTAAAAGTCATATTTGACGTTTATTGCGTTAAAAACACTAATATCAAAGGATTTTAATTAATGTTGTACGGAACTGTATCCTTATCATGTAGTTCAATTACAATACGATAACACAACAAGCTCAGTACAGAGTACTAAAAAAAACAACCTCAAAGGTCATTCATCCCCTTCTTTGCCACCCTTTGAGGTGAAATATTATCTTCTATGAAACCACTGCTGAGGTACTTTACAATAAAAAAAGAATCATCAAAATTGGTTCATAAATGATGGAGTTATCGCTTAACATACATACAGTCGAATAGAGTCCTTTTTTGAAGTTGGTTAAAAATTGGTAATCAAACCTTGTGCAAATATATCTTGAGTAGTAAATTTACTTGTATATTAATGAAGGCATACATTGCTCGCATATAGTCAGAAATGTGATCCACAAACAACGTCCATTATAATTGAGAAGGTACTTCTAAGTGGTATTTACTTACGAAATACAGTCGTGGCGTTGTTTGGTATTACTTTTTGTTTCAAAGCAATCTGGCGAGTAAACGAAATTGTGTTCTGCCTTCGAAAGACAGAAGAAAGAAGAAAGGCACAACCGGCAAATTCTAAATTCGTAGTAATGTAGAATTTGCTGTAAAAAAATGTAGTGTGCACATAAAGGGGAAGACACTCCCGTTGGAGAGTTCGCCTGCGTTGACATAACCGATTATCAGCACATTTGCTAATAGTGGCACTAATTGCAAATGATTCACTTCAAAAAAAAACTACCGTTGTTCAACGAATTCATCGTCGATTAAAACTTGTTCATAAATATTTGGACATCACTAATTGGTTAGTAATCGACCTGTCAAAAATAAAATAATCTGTGAATGGACCACAATAACTACTTCCGCCGTACTGACCTGCTGATGATTGCTGTCCTGCTTCTCGCTGCTGTCGGAGACCGAGGAGCCGGTGGTTTTCTTACAGCATCCAGGGCACCACCGGCGACACATACACCTGTGAATACATAGAATCATTATCAGTGGTGATCGAAATGAGAATCAAAGGAAACTCTCTTTAAAAAAGTTCGCACGGAGAACTGGACCAATTTAATCTACCGTATCGATGTCGTGTACAAAACAATTTTCGAAAAGTTTGTTATAATTATTAATACAAGAAATTTAAAAAAAAATTAATTAATACAGTGAAGAGCGACATCTCTCGCCAGGACTGGTAGCTGTAAAGGTACTAACTGGGTAATAAATCTGTAATAGATTTCTCATAGATGGCGTTACGACTAAAAAGTCGTTGAAAGACCAAGTACAAAGACACGACGCAAGCACATAGAAAAATTCGTAAGGTCCGTTGGTTCGTTCCGTGGCTTAGTTGGTATACCGTCTGGCACGGTATGCAAGAAGACGTCGGTTCGAATCCGACCGGATCGAAGGAATTTTTTCTGAGTGTTCGATCTTTGTATTAATAATTATAACAAACTAGTGGAGTAATTTCATAAAAAATAATTGAATATCAATTCAATAAAAATTTAATTAATTTTCGAAAAATTTTAAATTACGAATCGAGACTACAGATTTTACGAATTGAAGCATTGGGAGCAACAAGAGCTTTCGGCACCCAAAGCCCGTTTTGATGCTAATGCATCAAAACATTTAAAGCATTATCACTATTTTGTGACAAAAACTCATTTCGATCTATCCCTTCTAGATGGCGTAAGTTTCATTCATTTAGATTAGAAGGTGGCGTTCTAAATGAATGACACTCCGTGCATATGCATCTCAAAAAAACCGTTTAAGCTAAAGCTGCGGGAGCATCTGTTAAATTTGCGAAAATTGGGGATATGAGTGGCTAGGGTATTTGCGGTTGTCTCTTGTTTGTCCACGTACAGGGTCGGGAGCGCGTCATGCTTGACATTTAAGATTTAATTTCAACTCTGTGCCGTTTGCGATAGGAACGGTCCAAGGTCCAAGGTAACAAGTCCGGCTTGTTATGCTCTTGGCTGTACCTCGTTTCAGGACTGCAAATAGTGTATTATGTGTGGAGGTTGGGAGGAAGAAGATTGAAAATTGAAAATTAATAATTTAAAAATGAAATCAGAAAAATTTTTGTTGGATTGCGAGTGGCGTCTCTATCCTATAGGGTCCTGGCAGAATACCAGCGTCGCGGGCAGCCGCGTCATTTATGCTGAGCCAGCGCCTTTTTCACTGCCATGACTTCCAAGTGTAACATTAGTAGATAAGAATATCATTATTGTTATATATAAGTTAATGCCTATATCATGTATCTGATGTCATGGTGGTGAATAAAGCTTTTATCTATCTATCTATCTATCTATCTATCATATGAATTTTGGACACGTTACGACCTGTAGATTGCAAAAACATATTTTAATGTAAAAAAAATATCTGAAACGAGCGGCTTCACCCTCAACTTGGCGCATCTAGAGATTCTAAATTTAATGGTAACCTATCACAAACTCGAAATTTTTTTGTTCGTAATAACGTTTGTTCGAATTTTCATTACACCGAAAACCGAATTATAACGAAACGTTGTTCTTTCAGGATATGTTGAATGTTTATCGCAAAGACACAATTAGGTTCGGTCAGGTTAGGGTCAGTTAGGTTTAAAAGAAAAAACATTTTCCTCTCAAAATTACTTTCGGGGTTATGAAATTTCGATCAACCGTTATTTCTGGCAAATGTCATTTCGGTTTACCGATAGGTAACCGAATTTAATGAATGATTAAAGATACGTTTATTTTTTTTTTCAATGTGACAAGACTGAGGGTCGTATTCCAGAACTCTACTCAATGCTCAAGTCAGGACTTGAGTATGATTTCAAGCACTGGAATTACGATCCTAATGGCAAGGACTTGAGTATGATTTCTATTGCTTTAAACCATACCCAAGTTCTGACTTGAGCATTGAGTAGAGTTCTGGAATACTACTCTGAGTCACCCAAGTATCTAAAGTTATTATTCATTTACTTAAAAACCAATAATAAAACGAACACCCCAATAATTCACCAGTTTGGTGCAACAAGGGTTGATAAACAAGGAAAAAATTAATGTTTTTAAATGTTTCTAATTGTTTTGAAATAATAAGAACCCCTCAATCTTTTAGCGAAATTATAGCACAAATAATTAATAAAGTGTATGTGTAAAGTGTATATCGTATTATTAATATTAAAAAGATACAAGACATTAAAACTTTATTTTCAATTTTCTCGAATCTTATTTTTACATGATACGCCCTTAGAATAATAACGCATAGAATGATAGTTTCATATCAAACGAACTGTCACAAGTGAAGCAAAAATCAAATTCATGTAGGCTAGTTTTAGTAGTAAGTTAATTTTCGGTTTTAGTGAATATTTATATAAAAATACAAGTTGAAACGCGTTACTTCCTTGTGGAATGTGATGTTAGTATCTATTTTATGTTTGTCTGATGTATTTTTACACTCATTTACCGCACATTTCGTCATTTTTAGCTAACATTTTTGAGCTGTTCGTGGTGCAAGTTGACCTTGAACACTGAAGGCCTGCCCGCTCGTGTAGGCCCTTTTGGCGCGTTTCAATTTGCCTCACTTAGCGTGAGCGGACTAGGTTTCTATGCGTTATTATTCTAAGGATACGCCCTTGTTTATACGTTCATTACAGTAAAGGTTACACATACATAGAGATAGTAAACTTGACCTATTTCTGCCGCCAAGCATTAATGTGAGCATTACTTCGTTCTGGTTCTGAAGGGTAATTATCAATGATCGGAATAGGTGGCGTATTTACGAGGAACACATTTACATTGACAATATTTTTTAGGTCCTGGATCTTTTCGGAATTGGAGAAATCTCTTAAGTATATTAAAAACTGGCATTATTTGGGATAGGCAGGTAGATATTTATCTTAATTTAAATAGAGTTGTTAAGATAATATAGTTTTTTTTTAAATGGGACAGTATGGGGAAATCCTAAGCCATAGAAGATACAAGGAAGCTGTTAAAAACCATTAAGTCTTCTTTTATGAAAACAGTTTTGGCATAATCAATTATTTGGTCAAGCGTGAGTTGTCCCGAAAATGAATGAAATTGATCAAAACTTTTTTGATGCTGATTGATTGTACGCGAAAAAAATCGGGTAAAAATATTTTTTCATACAAAATGAATAAAATTGACTAATTTTTTAATGCTAGTAGACTGAGTTTCTTACACAAAAAAAAAGACTTCATAGTTCCTAAGACAGTTTCCTCGTATCTTCTATGATTTCGGATTTCTCCACACTGTCCTATTAAAAAAGAACACCATATATTTCAAACATTCTATTGAGTTATGGACATTCGACCTACTAAACCGACTAAATTCTACCGATTTAAAATATCGCATCGACTCTTCGTGTTCTAGTACGTGTTAACTTTCTAACTCATTTTCATGTCACAATCAGATAGTAGAAATTTTCCTAAGTTATTCCGAAAAATTGGTGTTGCAAAGGTAAAATAAATATAGTCTACCTGCTTATCTCAAATAACGTCATTTTTTGTGGACAAAACATTTATTTATTTATTTATTTAATAGTTTATTGTACGGGAAAAATACAACAAGTCACAAAGAATACAAGCGAAATTAAAAACAAAAGGTTCTGCTTATTTCTAATAGAAATTTCTTCCTGCAGACCTAAATACAGGACACTATAACTAAAAGAACGGGCATATGTGCACAACAAAACAAGAAAAAAAAATATAAAAATATTAAATTGTTATAAATTATATAAATACTTAGATAAATACATATTTTATAATATAATACCTAAGATATGGATGGAATAGTAGATAAATAATGCTCCTTAACTCTCACTTTAAAAATAGCTAACGATTTACTTTCGTGAACAGTAATAGGAAGTGCATTCCAAAGTCTGACCGCATGAACAGTGAAGGAATGAGAATAGAAACCGGAATTGAAGCATGGAAAAGATAACTGGGACCTAACAAGAGAACGACAGGGTTTATCCTGGGACCTAAGGAAGCTGAAACGCTCTTTCAGGTACCCGGGAGACACAGGGTTATGTAAAATATTGTAAAGAATGGAGACAATATGCAAATTCCTGCGGAGACGGATGGGAAGCCATTTGTGCTGACTGCGGAAATGTGAAATTCGGTCATATTTACGAAGCCCAAAGATGAACCTTATACATAGGTTTTGCAGTCGTTCAAGCTTATTTAGCAGTACTTGAGTGATTTCCTGAATCCTGAAAAGATCCAGGACCTAAAAAATATTGTCGTAAGGTAGTCTCCATTTTCTGTCTATGTTTTTCGAAGTTTAGGTAAAGAAACTCTACCTATTCCGATCACTGCTTGGGAATTGTCTACTTTATGTGTTGTCTACTTTGTTTTTAAAGCTCTGAATAAAACTGCAACTGTTATAACGTGTTTTTATGACTAGACGTGTCGCATACCTAACAAAGAGCACAGGACTTGTTTATTACACGTGGTTATCACAAGGTTTTAACTGCATATTTTTTTCTTACTGTCAGAAAACAAAAGATGATTAATAGACCTGCCAATACTATTCGTATGAACAAATTTCCTAATTTAACTGACTCCGTGGCCGAACGGTTACCATGCTGGAATGCCACGCAGAGATCCCGGGTTCGATTGCCGGGCCGAGAGAAATATTTGAATGGCCTACATTTATTTATCTCGTGAGTTTGGATGTAATTTGTGGTTGTCTATGTGTGTGTCCAAAGTAAGTAATTAAGGCAGTTGTGTTTTGGAAATCGGAAACAACGACGGTATCACAAACACCCAGAACCAAGACAATACAGAAAAGTATTTCTACATTGATCCGGCCGGGAGTCGAACCGGGGCCCCAGAAACAGCGACACCGTGAAAAGCGGTATGCAAACCACACAATCAGAGTTGTACCTTGGATGTTATTACTAACTCTACACTCTTATATTTGGTACGTGGAAGATCCTGGTACATAACCACCAGCCAAGAATTCATTTACAAAACACGTTATGTATGCAAAGAAAGGATTATTTTAAAAACTATTTATCATCATCATGGCCCGTAACGAGGGTTTAGGCCCTCGTCAACCACGTTGGCCCAATTCGAGTTGAGAATTCATACGTCTTC